GTGTACAAAGGAGCAAATTTATTTCCTAATGTTTTAAATTTTAAAGTTTATTCATATTAGAGGTCAGAGAAGGGATAGACTGTGTAAAGTGAAAAAGGAGATCTAAGTCTCAATCCCAGGAAGAAAGCAGGAATTAAACATGTCTTTAAATGGCTAGTTTAAACTGGCTACTTTTTCAAAGAAGCTTCAGAGTTCATCAAGTAACTTAAGCGACTCATGCTAAATGGAAATTTTTTGTCCATTGTCATTCAGGGTGTCTTAAATTTGTTCATCATTCTTCTGGTGGGACTACTGGTGAATATGGTGCTTGTTTATTAAATTAATTTAATCTAGTGTATTCAATCTTTTGTAATTTCTAAACAGTGATTACTTATGAATGTTGCACCATCAGCCTTATATTTTTGGTATAATTGATCTTTACTAATAGAATTCAAAGTATAGATTTATGTTAGTAATTTGGGTGCTGGGATTAGATGATCTTTCCCCAAATTGTTTAGATTTTCAGGAGGTGAGTGCCCTCACAAGGAAAAAAAATTTATGTGTGCTAGACAAGAAGTTTAACTGCGTTAAGTCTTAAGTGTAAGAGTTTCTCCTTTTGCTGTTAGAAACAACATATTTCATAGGATCTTATCCTGTCCAATGCCGGTGTGTTAAAAAAAAAGAAAAGATACAATACAAAACAAAACAAAAAACCCCACCAAACAAAACCAACAAAAACCTCTTACACTGAGTTATGACCTTCTTTCAGTTTTTATGACCCTGTATAGTAATGAGAAATTTTCCATAACACCCCTTGTCAGACAAATCAAGGGTGAGTCATTAGCTCCAACTTAACGTATAAGGGAATCTGACGTGACAAGACATGAGAAAGGGACAAGAGAACTGTAAGAATCCCTGAGAACAGCAAAATCAAGTTGAAATAAAAACTTTTGGCCTAGAGTTTATGGTTGGCAGTTTATAATTCCAAAGAGCATGGCTCTGGGTACAAGGTGAATCTAAAAGTAAGGCTTTTATACTGCATAGTAGGTCCATTAAAAAGTTAGCTAAATTTTATCGAAATGTTTCAAGAACTCTGCTTTAATCCTAGCTTTTGTTTGCCCTTGTTTTTAGTCCTGTTAATTAGAACTTGCATATTTCCAAGTAACTCAATTCCAGATTATTAAATCTGATGCCAAACTTGCATTGTTCATAAAATTCTCTGTAATACTAGTTTTTCTTAGCAGTTTTAATATAAATAAAATTCCTGCCAGATAGTTTTGGAAGAGAGAAAATACCAATACTTGACACATCTGTATTCTTCACAGTGGTTTTTTACAGGCATTCATTTGCAGATAGTAGCTGGACCAAACTCCTTATTCAGATTATGGAAATGCAGGGATTACCACAGCAGTGCTTGTGTAGTAAAAAGCTGGGTCTTTGAGAGGCGGACAATTATATACTTTTGAAATGGGCACACTTGGTAGTTTGTGTTCTTCAAACCTCTGCTAATAACTAAATAATATGTGTTTAACACTACAGTTTCAATCCAGTAGATGTTTTATTTGCATTCTCAAAACAATTTCAGTTCCTCAACTCACTAAACCATATCCTTTAAAACTGAGTCCATTCCTACCTGTAGTATGTTCTTTATTTGTTCTTTGTAGACCTGGACTGATAATTAAATGATGCCTAAGAAAATCAGAGAAAACAAATTATCCAGTATCAGAAGTCTGGTTGTATTAAATTGTTATATAAACAAATTAATAGTGATACAGAATCTTATCACTACTTTGAATATGTCATTTGCTGATATATGCATAATGTATTTCTTTTTTACATACCAGAGATTGCTTATAAAGAGTAAGTAGATGATCATAATCAAAACAATGATAAATCTCCCACTAATATCTGCTATTTTCATTCAAAGGCACCCTAAAGCACTTTGCAGACTGTTATATATAGGAAAAGAAATTAGGAATAGAAAATTACACTGAGATTTCATCAATATCTCCTGGTAATAATTACAGGATTTGATCAGATTCATTCATCTCCCATTTGGCTATTAATAGGAATATGACACACTCTGAATTCAATCTTTATTCTCTTGAGGGGATTTTCTTTGGTGAGAAAAAACTTCAGAGACTTTCTCCACTCTCTTAATGTGCAAATTCTTTAAATACCGGCAGAAGCATTATCACTTGCAGGAATTTAGTGTTCCAGCTGTGATTATTTCTAAGTGTGTAGTACAAAGTCAAGTATAATAACCAGTCTTTGGTTTAAAACTTTTTTGACTTTGTGAGCACTGATTAGTATGTCCAGAGGAACTACAAGCACCTTAGAAAAGCATAACAGAGCCATTCAGTCTCTGAATCTATTTATTTATCTTATTGATGCGTGTGTGGGCCAAAAATTATCATTGTCCTACTTTTGTTAAGAGGGAAAGAAGGTTCTGCTGGAGAAAACACCTTTCTCTCAACTCTTAGTCCAGTATCCCAGCCCCCAGTATCCCTGCCTACCAGTGCAGGGTAGAATGCATTCACTACAGTGATGAGACAAGTAAGCAATTACCAAAAAATAAAGCAATTTCTGAAAAGAACTCTGACATTTAGTTTTATTGGCATGGCAATAGTTTTAAAGTGACCATATCGCTAAGTGCATAAATAAAATATTAAAATTAGTAGAAACATGTTCAGAAAAGAGGGAGAAAATTGTTACTGCTCCTTTTTTTCCCTTCAAAGAAGGTTAAAGCTATTAGTGACAGGAAAAGTGCTGCCCTTTAACATCCTTATTTGGAGCTGAAATATTAACTCTTTTTGTGAGAAAGGAGAGAAAGAAGAGAAATGCCAATAGTTTTCTTTTTACCATTCTTTGAAGAATTCCTTATTTTAAATAGATATGTCCAACTTTAAAGCATTTTTTGAAAGAGTAAAAATCAGCAGAGAAAGCCAGTCTCAGAGGAAAACCTCAGAAAGAGTAAAGTGATGACCTACATTTATCCTCTGTTAGAAGGGAGTGGGTCCCATGGATGCAGTCTTTAACAGCAATGAAGATTAGGTCTACATACCTGGCTTTGTTATTCACTTTTTTCTTTCCTAAATGGAAAGTCCTTTAATCTTTCTTTTCTTACATTGCTTGTCTCCAAATTGATGAAAAGGATACCTTTGTAAAGGGCATGACAATCTGCGAATGAAAAGTACTGTGCTACAAGCTAGCACAATCCGCAGGATCTCCATTTTCCTTCCATTCTAGCAATCTCCTGTAGTAACCTCACCATAATAGCACCTGGTGTAGCTGTGTCCAACCAAAGAGGGTTAATGATCTCAGCAATACAAAGGGTCATATAATACAAAGGGGAAAGGCAGGTTCTCTGAAAGGGAAGAACACACAAATTAAGGAAAACAGTCATCTGCTATTTGAAAAACTCTAGTAATTAAATGTCTAATTACTCTCTTCATCACAGGGAACAAACACAAGTTCCAATGAACTGTTGTTCGAAAATGTGATGGTTACTTTCTTAATTACTTTAGTCATGCTTCTTTTTAAAAGAATGTCGTGCCTTCTATCCCTTCAGATGGACCTAGTAAGGATGATAACAGGAGGCACTACAGGAAAACACTACTGTGCTACTGGAAGACACTGAACATTACCACAGATCATGCAGATCCCTGCTGTGCTGCCCATTTATTAGCAATATAGTGAGTCAGATCTTGGAGTCATCCAAGTTAGAGATGAAAAAGACTTTCATTTTCCTGAAATCATTACAAGTTCCTGGTTATAGTCATACTGTGTGGTTCAGTTAGCTTTTCTGGATCCTGAATTCATCCTTCATCTTATAGTATTTTTGAACAAAGGAATTGATTTTTTTAGATCAAAAAATTGCTTACTTTAGATACTCAATTACATGGCAGGATAGAACTAAAAGGAAAGAGGGAGGAGAGGGAAAGAGATAAATAAATGGATTTCTTTTTCTCCCTCTTGGTTTTTTTTGTGTCAAAAAGTATAGTCCTAACACTTTGTATGGGGCATTTTTTCCTGTGTGGATAGTTTAGCTTCCTGTGTGTGTTTTTAACAAAAAGCAAAACCAAAAAACCAAAAACCAGCCCAAACAAAACAGAACAAAGACCATAAACCAACAACAACAAGAAAAAGAAAAAAAAACAACCACCAAAACCACACACACACAAGAAAAAAAAACAGCTAAGAAATAGAGTACGTAATTAAATTTGGTTTATTTAATTTTCTGTCAGGAAGAAACAGCACTCAGCAAGCCAGCTGGATTCAGCTCTTGAAATAATAAAGGAAAAATGTTGTAATAGTTGTAACTAGTGATTTGGTCTAGGCATGGAAAAGCACTAGGTTTCTTGCTGCAGTTGAAATGAGGAGCTTCAAGACATGACTATAAATTGAATTCTAGTGATCTTGCTAACTAAAATGGGGTTTGAGCCGTATACTCACAGTTAGATTCACAAGTTTAGATTTTTTTTAATTTAGGCACTTACTATTAGAAATAACAGGGCCTAGATAAGAAGCCCGTTGAGATAATTAGTCTTTAATTTCTCTTTTTTTAACATAATAGTAGAAATGTTACACATAAAGGAAGCACTGTTTGCTTGATATGCAGAGGTTGTATTGTTAGGATAGTCACTGGCAGAAACTAGATTAAAGCAGATACGCTTCTAGGATGCATAAGGATTTTTCTCCCTCTCAGAAGTCAAGGAGATCTGCAGCAAAGTGATCAAGTACTCACTCCAGCCCAGTTGAGTCCAAGATTGGCCAGAAAGCAAGCAGCTGCTCTGAATGTGTTCCTTGTAGCTGCTATCCATCTTTTTTTCCAGTGAACAGGCAGTGTTACTGGTCAAAGTGATGTAACTTGAGACAGCTTTTTAGAAAGTAACAGTGTACTGATGTAATTGCTGTGTACCTGTTCTTTTGGTGCTTAGACTGGTGAACAATAATAATGATCAAGGAAAATAATTTAATACACTTCACAGTGGCTTTCGTTTTCTCTCTGTGTAATTCAGGAGAAAAGACATTGGAATGTTGTCATACAAAGAGCACCTACCAGTGAGTCAGGTAGTCGTCGGAGACATTGACCGGCCTGGATCTGAAGCCAAGGTGTCTGTGGGTCCCGTGCGCTGTCAAGGAGATCGTAAGTTGTCTGATTTTCTTCCACTTACTCCTGGGTAGAAGCTAATTTGGATAGTGGTAACTTTGTAGGCACCCTATGCAAATTTAGAGAAGTGGCTGTCTATTCGAGAGACCTTTTTCTATGAAAACATGATGTGATTTGAGAAATTTTGTCAATGAAAATATGCATATAGTGGCTTGTCTTTGCATTTAAAATATTTATATTTGTCTTTATTTTACGGTAAATGTAGCAGCTTTGATTACTCAACTAGGTTTATATAGATATGTGCAGTAATACAGATTGCATAAGAATATCTCTCAACATCTGTGCTTCTGTTGGGTGCTCTTGTCAGTGTCGTTATCATTGCTAAGCATATCACTGTAAACTATGCTTATGTTATATAAATAGGAGCATGATGGCATAACTTACCACTGTAAGCTCTGTTTACAGGTGTAAAAATGTTGACGATTGTTATCAAATGGTAACTGTATCAAGACTAGATGTTTCCTCGTAAAGCACTGGGAGTTTTTTGTAGTAGTCTCTGATTTCCAGGCTGAGTGCTGATATGAGATGCATATTCTCCAGTCTGATCAGCAGATGATAGAGTAAATCAGTATAATGGATAAATTTCCACTTCACGCACAAAAAAAAGGTTGAGAAGCAGTGAGAAGGATTGTACTTTTTGTTCAATCTGTTTTACATTTCAGGAGGTGAAATTCACCACTGAAGGCAGAGCAACAGCTTAAGGCCCTTCTAAATCACACTTCAAAAATTTAAGCTCTGTGCAGCTGGCACACATATTATATTTGTCCTCTGTGTTTGAAGGTCATTCTATTACAGAAGATGCAGAAAGGAAAGTTGCCTGATTTAATTTAAAATAACTAATATTTGCACGGTCTATAAAGAATACAAAACCCATCTGCAGATGCTGGTAAAGAGTACTATAAATCAGCCTATAAGATTGCAGTGATGGAAATATTGAAAGGGTTGGCATAATACCTGCAGGTTGGTTAGAACAACCTGACTCTAAGCAGCATCTAACACTGCACAACAGGGATGAGTATGGTTGTCCTTCCTCTTCTGCCCTTTTACAGCTACATGTTTTCTATCTGCACATTTCTAAGTACTTTGCAAAGGAGGTCAGTATTGTTATCTCTGCCTTAAGCTAAAGTAATTAATCCCAACTGAGAGGAAATCACATACTCAGAGTCATCCTGCAGGACAAGTACAAATGAGAGCTTACTGTGTCCCAGTCCAGTGCCTCAAAACCTTGGGCCATTGCTTGGTGATAGAATTGAATGCGTTTTGCCTCTTTTTCTGTTTGTGGTCTTTCTGGGCTGTGCAAATGATCCCTCCAGCTTTTGTTTATGAATCTGATGCCTAATGAGCAGAAACAAATATCATGGGATGTTTGCAAGCTTTCACATCATCTATTTGTTGCTTGTTATTTTAGGGTATTTGACTAATCACAGGTCAGTTTGTGTTTGTGTCTCAGCTATGTTTGATAAACATAGGCTCTTACAACTGTTGACAAAGAAATAACAAATAGCATTTTTCTTGCACTTGTATCCTCATATTCTGAATCGGAGTGCTTCCAGAAATATCAGCCTCTGAAGTGTGAGCCATTTCTAAATATTAGTATAAATGAAACCTCATTTGAGCAGGCAATAACCTTTATTAAAGTGTGACTGTGTGACACAGCCATTTGGGAAACCAAAGGGGTGTATTCCTAACATCCCTAATAATTTAATTTTCTCTGTGAACTTTACAGAAAGGATTTGTAGTTTCAAAAAAACTTTGCCTATGAATAAATTTGAATTTATTTCCATGACCATATATTATTGTCAAAAAGCTGTTATAAGTTTTCTCGCAGGAGATAATATAAACACCAGTCCTTTGCAGTTAGTAAAAGCTCCCATTTTATATTCCCAGTGCATTTACTAAGCATTTCCCTTTGTATTCTTTCTTGAAAATATACAACAGCTCCTGTACCCCTAAATACTACTGTCTCACCTTTTGGAAAACAAGGTTTCTGCCCTAGGGAAATTTCTAAAATTTAGAACTGTACATTTGTTCTAAATTAGAAGAAAGATCCAAAGTGCTTAATTTCTGGGAAAGGATTTAAAAAAAAAATTAACCAAAAAAAAAAGAAAACCAAACAAAAAAAACCAACACAAAACTGAACAAACATCACAAACCGATTCATTTTTTCATGTATTACATGCATCAAAACCAACATTATTAGTACTGGAGATGTCGAGTCTTGTCACAGCACAGTTCATATGTTCAATTCAGTTGCATGTGTAAATGAAATTTAGTTACAGTAATGAAGACCGGCAAAGAAATGCAGATTTTTGGTCTGCTTAGAAGGAAGATGGAAAAGGTAAGAGTCCCTAACCAGTCAAACAAAAATTTACCTATTTGGAACAATTTCTCATTGTGGTCACAGGATCTGCCAGTATTGTGACAATTTATATCACAGTAAGTGGGGCCTTGGATGAAATATCCAAGATGCCTCTTTCCCATTTGCTGTTTTAGTGCTGAGGTATGCTGTCTAAGTATCTAAGGATTTTTCTAAGTAGTGATCTCCCGGGAAAGCAGACTTATCCAATTTTATGAAGAACGAGTGCATAACCAGGATATGAATTTGGTAGGGTTTTTTGGCACTGTATTGCAATGATCCAAAGATCAAGCAGAGATTTTGAGCAAATGTCAAGTCTAGCCAGATTTAAAGCAAAGCTGTCCTTCCTGACAACTGCTGTGTGAACACTGTACTTACAGAATGGCAGTGGCACTTTATCAGCAGAGTCGCAAGATCCTCTAAACTTGAACTGGAATTAAAAGTGTAAATCAGTCCTGAGACTCCATAGTAATATTGGATAAGGAAGGGAACTACTCTTGTTTTCCCTCAAGTGAAGGTGTTCTGTGTAGGATCTAGAAAAAAAGGCCAACATAGCACCACTAATTAATCATCTTTACTTTTCGTGTAACTTAGAGACACTAATTAAAATCCCTTTACAGAACCTATTGCAGTTGTACTAATACTTATGCAATAGGACCTGAACTCCTCAGTCCCACTGCATTTAGCCTTGGCCAACCAGTAATAGAAAGGCCTTGTCCATCTCTTTATGATATTCCACTGTAATGCAAAGGGGCACCTTGAGCCTTCTCCCTTTAGAGAAATACACAAGTATGTTGAGAGTTTTTTCCTGTCTAAGCTCAGCCTGAGGTGGTAGATGTAGGCTGCAAAAATGGATCTGGTAGTTTCTTTTGAAACCAAACTAAAGAGCTTAGCTTACTGTGTTTGGGCTATTGTTACAGAGATTTCATCAATAATCATGTTGAATCAAAATTACTTTTGTGACTTCTGGCACCTTCTCAAGATTTTGTTTCATTCCCTCTAGGAAAATACCAATGTTCACAAAGCTCCTATATTTGTAACTTGCTAGGAGTATCCTTTTCCCAAGGACTTCCAAAAATTTTGATTTGAGTCTGCTGTTTATAAGCCCAGAGGGGAATAGACTGACTATTCTGCTCTAGATTTGCTTTTCTCCTTGAGTCTATTTTCCTTTTGTCCCATTTCTGCTATAACGAAGACAGAATTTGAAGGGGAAATGTCTTTTACACAGCTCAGATTTATGGTTTTTTTCCATCTCCTCTGCTGTTCAGTTTTTATCTTCCCAGTAAGACTTTGATTTCTGAGCCATGAATTATTTTTTTGTGTTTCACTTCTATTATCTTTAATCTTCAAAATGTGGAGGAAGAAGCCCCTGCATTGACTCTGGTTCTTTCTAAGCTAGGTTTTCATTAAGACCTGTATCAGCAGTGTTCATGTAGAAACTTCAGTGACAGACAAAAAGTGTCTGACAGATGACAGAAATTCAGGAGCAAATCAAAACGCAGTTCTTACATCGGTGCATTGATTTTGTTTGTGCTTGTGTGCCTATGACTCTGTGTGTGTGTTCTCAGGGGAAATAAACCTCAAGTTTTTTTATTCAGTGATTATGACCATGGCTCATCATTACTGCTTTCATTACTTGGTGCTTTGTTTCTTTCACTTCTAAATATCACTTCTGGCTTTACTCTTGTACTTCCTTTTAGACTGTTCCATCTGAGTTGGCTTATTTATTCAGACAGTGGTTCAGACCTGAGCATTTTTTATGACTCTGGGTTTGTATTAAAACCACTCTATAGTTATCTAATCCAGACAGCCACTGCCAGGGTCAGTGCTTACAGGGCAGGTATCCTTAGTAAGGTGTGTTTTTGTATTCCTTAAGTACTTCTTATGCATCACATGTGGAGGTTGGTGACTCAGAATTGTTACTTGTGGTGAAAATAAATTTACTGTTTCATGTGCATGCTTAGTCCATTTTCACTATATTGTAAATTAAGGACACTTTCAACATCCTGAGCTTGTTTTTCAGTGGTACCACCTGAGTTTCAGGAAAAAATAGCATAACCTTACAGTGCAATTTTCAGTTACACATTAAACCTATGAACAAGGTCAATTCTCTAGTAGGATATGCAATGTCAGTCAGATCTGCAGTGATGTTACTATTACATACATAGGTAAGGTAAGCTGGAGAATATCCCAGAAAACAAACAAACTGAAAACAACCTATTCGAATTATTAAAAGATCCAACTAGAATTTCAGAAGAAACAATTTACTCCTACTGTTTCTTAGACAACATTCTAGTAATATAGTGACTCAACTTTCAGGTTAATGGAAGTGAAAACACTGTATCAAATGAAAATTAATATCAATGAAACCCCCTACCAAAAACCAAAACCTGAGTGCTTGCAGAAAAATAAAAAATTCGGGGTTTGAAACTTCTGAAGCAATGATTCCACAAGATGCTTGTGTGATGGGATTACATATCTGAAATTTAGGTAATTCCTATCTGACATGTTAATTACTTCTCTGACATTCTGGTTACAAAACCAATTAAAATCTCTGCATTTTTCTACATTTCCCTATTTTTTTGCTTGCATTGCTAGATATATCTATACACTTTTATGT